GCCCGGGGGTCCCGCTGCTCGGTCAGGTTGGAGGTGGGCAAAGGCTGTGCGGGAGGACCACGGGAACGGGCTCCCCAGGGCATCCTCCAGGGCTTGAAGGGTGGGGGTGGCAGGGGCTGCCCCTCAGCCCTCCTTTTCTAGGGGTCTGTGATTCCAGGGTGCAAATTAAGGGGGAGCTCCTGCGTAAGAGAAAAGCCCCTTCCCCCCCCATGGTAAGATCTGAAATCATAAGGGGCCGGGGTCTCCAATCAGATGCCTCCTTCACTTAGGTGGACTTGTTAATCAGTGAACTGGTTTAATTTTTTTGCAGACCCCCTCCTCCCCGCAGAGGCAAAGTGTAATTCAACCCTCAGATTCCCCTCCCCGGTGGCAGCTCACTTACATCCCTGCTGGCCTCTGCTCTTGGCTTCCCTGGCTCTGGCTTCGGGGGCTGGTGCCCAGGTGAGGAGGGGGAGGAGGAGGAGGAAGAAGGCACTTGTTGCTTTCAGATGTCCTGGCAGCTTTCTGATGGCATCCAGGAACTTGTCTTCCTCTCCATCCAGCTGCAATCAGTCACTGCCGCCTGCCGATGGCTGGGGAGGAGGAATGGCCAGACCTCTCCCTCCTGCTGCCCCTCTTCATAGTGTGTCTCCCTGCCTCCTCCTCCTGGGCTCTCCCTCGTGCAGTTTGTAAAGCTTTTGCTTTGCGGCTGATTAACTTCCACATTCCTGGCTCCTTTCCAGGTTCTCGGTGGCACGTGGATCTGCAACGTGACTGCCCCCCCCCGTACTTTCCATATACCTGGGGCTTGCCAAATAGGCCAAGTCCAAGCCAAACACTTGCAGTTGCTGACACAGAAAGGAGGAGGAAGAGGAGCATCAGGCCACAGGGTGGGGAGGAGACGGATGAGTCAGGACGGGACCGCGCCTGCCTGGGGTAGAGTTCTGCCGACTGTGGACATTATCGTACAGGCAAAACCCTTCAGCGGAAACTTTTCACCCATCAGGCTGAAATCTAGTCAGCTAAAGAAAGAAACAGCTTCAAGCAGCCCATCTCTCCCTCCTCCTCCCTGTGCACGGTTACATTGCCCTATTTTTAAACTCTTTTTTCCCGCTCCTTCACACTCATGAATGAAAGGCTGGCACAAGCCACAGAGAAACAGCTTGGCGGAGGAAAGCAGAGACACTAAGCAGACTCACAGGGCTGTCAAAGAGACAAAACAAAACAGAGCTGAAAACAAACGCTCGTCATTTTTTTTTCTTTTCCCCCGTCAGAGTGCTTTCAAATATAGTCGTTTAGGAGGCACTTGCGGCAGCCCTCGGGCAGAATGAGCTGAAGTGGGATTCTTAAAGTTGCCGTCTTTCAAAAAGTGATGGTCCCAAGCTGGATAACTGGGGCCCCTGCCACGTTACACTTAAGATCTGATTAACCAGTTAGTCACGTCTTCTTAAGTTGTGACCTGGCCATACATTCAATTAATGAATGGCATGATAAAATGAGGAATAAGCCACAAAGTTATTCCACAAAAATGTATAATAACTTTGTGGCTGGTTCCTATTAGCCATTAATTGAACATGTGGCCTTGGGCACCCCTGTGGCTGGGACCCGCATCAGCAGATGGGGCCCCGGGCTGCAGGGGCATACCATGGGCCGGGAGCCCACAGCTGATAGGACTCAGCCACCGTGGTGCATCTCTGTGGATGGAAGCCAGGTCAGCTGATGAGGCTTGCAGCCACAGAAGATTGCTATTTGCCAGTGCAGGCAGAGCCGGGGATCATGATCCAGGGCTTCCCCTGCACTGGCAATAAGGCACAACGGGATCTGATGTGTGATCCCACAATTGCGCCTCTTGACATGCAGGTATGGCACAGCAGGATGTGTGATTACTTAAATTGTGCATCAGATCTCATTGCACCTTTACCTGCATGTCTGGCCGGGGTCTAAGATTTCTTCATATTTTAAACATTTTTTATTAAAAAAACTGCTGTCTAGTCCAATTTATCTCAACAGATATGTCCTCACCACCATCGTTATTTATCTTTCTGTTTGGGGGCTTAAGTTCACCGACGGGACTTGGGCTCAGAATTGTGGTGCTGACCTGTTAGACACACTGTTGCCTCATGACTTTCTCAGCCCTGAGCTGAACTTGTGGAGTTAGATGCCAAAAAACAGTGTCCAAAAGAGTCAACTGAACTACAAAGGTGGGGTTTGGCTCTGCTTCTCTGAGGTGGTTTGGGAATGTCTCCATTGGCTCCAAGTTGAGGCTGGGAATGCCACCAGAAGCAGGCCTCACCCACTCATTCCTACTTCATGTGCATCAGCTCCCCAAAATGGCAATGTAATTGGCTTGGAATGGCTCCCAGGGCACGTCCATCAGTGTTCTTAGGTTATGTTCTGGGTGGGCTTAATAGCACTGGGTTGCACTGTTCTGGGTCTGATCATGCGTGGAGTGAGGGTGAGTGGGTGGGGTATGCTTCATAGGAATACTGTGAAGTACGTCATAGAAGTGACATAGACACATCCTGAGGCACCTAACTACTTTATTTGATGGGCTAGAAAGAGACAGTGCATGAGAATGACCTTACAGCCTGGCAATTAGTGCATTCACCTGGAAGTAGTGAGTTACAGGGTCTTCTTCGAATGCATTTTATATAAAAAAGGGAATAGTTTATACAGCTAAGCACAAGAGAAACCCATTCAAGTACACCCTACAGCCTGGGAGTTAGGGCACTTTCTTAAGAGATCAGTGTTCAAAACCTTGCTTCAGATCTACTACAGGAGGGATCTGAACTTGGCTCCACATCCCTGGTGGATACTTTGAGTCCTGGGCATGGAAATAATATTTTACCTTACTTGTTGAAGTCTAGTTCTGTAGGGGTGATTAATGCATCCCCATTGAGGGAATGTGAATTCTGCAGCATAGTTTATGAATCCTGCTGAGGACTAAGCATTCAATGTTTCGGCAGCATGAGGACTTGGGTGGTTTTGTGCATGCTCAATAGCAGAAATGTAGGTGATAAGGGGCTCCTATACGTGTGTGGGGAGCCTGCTCCAATGTGCTGGAAATCGAGCGCATCAGAGTAGACTCAATTAGTCTGCTGGAGCATGGAAATTGATGTGCTCCGGCAGCCCTCTGCATCATGTATATCAGTGTCCCCATGCATCTCTGTGCTGAAAAAATGGTGGCGGGGCAATTTGAAATAAAACACGTTTGATAAGCTTTAATGCAAAGCACCCTGCTGCCTTTTTTTCAGTGCGGGGACGCACGGGCGCTTTTAATTAGTGCAGCTCACTAATTAAAGCACCTGGTGCCTTGTCCCAGAACACATGTAAAAATGATCAAGGAGGTTTTATGAGAGAAACAGGCACACCGGGATTTTAAGTGTCTCCACAATCAGGTGGCAGCTGTACTGGGCTTTTGAGGCTCTGAAATTATAGGAAGATGCTCAAGTTCCTTTGTGGATCTAACTCTCAGTACCTGTAAGTATTGATCTCACTGACCATAAAAACCTCCATTTATACAAACGTAAGGGGGGGGAAGTTGGGGAAAGTTCATTCATTAAAATAATGAAGGAACACTTGGTAATCATTACCAAATGTATATGCACACCCCCCTCACACACATACCATCTTTATACGTATACAATCTATATATACACTCATACATTCATCATCGTAATAAGCAACATGTTTCCCTGCCTTCTAACACTTGTCACTTTCACTTGTTGATATATCTTCAAATGATTATTCAAATGTTAACTTCCCAATCCCTCTGGAAAAGTAGATTGTGAAATAGGTAGAGGCTTGTGTTAGCAGGTTAGTGGCTAGTTAGATAATCACCGGGCATATCTACAAATGCAAATAATCCAGGAGCAGTTTATTCATAGATTCATAGATGCTAGGGTTGGAAGGGACCTCGAAAGATTGAGTCCAGTAGCCCTACCCCAGGGGCAGGAAGTCAGCAGGGATCATAGGATCCCAGCAAGATAAATATCCGAATGTCTCTTCAAGGTGTTCAAAGTAGGTGCTTGACCCACCTCCAGCAGCAGTCTATTCCAGACCTTGGGGGCTCAGACAGTAAAGAAGTTCTTCCTTATGTCCAGCCTGAAACGACCATGGAGCAGTTTGTGACCATTGGACCTTGTCATCCGTTGGGGCGCTCTGGTGAACAAACGTACCCCTGGATACTGGTGGTCAGCCTGATAAACTTATAGGTGGCCATCAGATCACCCCTGAGCCTGCGCTTTTCCAGGCTAAAGAGCCCCATGGCTCTCAGCCTGTCATCATAAGGTCTGTTTTCCTGACCTCTGATCATGCGCGTGGCTCTTCTCTGGACTCTCTCAAGCTTCTCCACATCCTTTTTGAATTGTGGAGCCCAAAACTGGACACAGTACTCCAGCTGCGGCCTCACCAAGGCCAAGTACAAGGGGAGAATGATGTCCTG